CAACCAAGCAACCAAGCAACCAAGCAACCAAGCAACCAAGCAACCAACCCAAACCAAGCAACCAAGCAACCAACCCAAACCAACCAAAACCAACCAACCAACCAACCAACCAACCAACCAACCAACTAACCAACCAACCAACCAACCAACCAACCAATCAGCCAACCAACCAACCAACCAACCAACTAATCAATCAGCACCAACCAACCAACCAACCAACCAACCAACCAACTAATCAATCAGCACCAACACGTCTATAGTCTATACTTGGTGCACAGTGCGTGGGAAGCGCTGCGCCCTCCCCCACAACCCCTCCCGTTTCTTTAAGCCAACCAACCCTCCAACCACCGACCACACAACCAACTAAGCAAGCAAGCAAGCAAGCAAGCAAGCAAGCAATCAAGCAAGCAAACAAGCAAGCAACCAACCACCCAACCCGCCAACCCACCAACCCACCCACCCACCCAACCAACCAACCAACCCACCCATCCACCCACCAACCAACCAACCAACCAAGCAAGCAAGCAACCAATCCAACCACCCAACGAAGCAAGCAAGCAAGCAAGCAAGCAAGCAAGCAACAACCAACCCAACCGAGCAACCAACCAAACAAGCAATCAAGCAACCAACCAACCATCTAAAAAAACAATGAAAGTAGCTCCGAGATATCTTCTAAATAGCTAAAAACGATCCAAAATAGGACTTTGGTTGAAAAATGTTTGTTTATGTACAAAACAGGTGTACGTTTTAAGGGCTTTGACTGTATGCACTTTTCGTTGTTTCTTGATATTTTTTGGCTGCTATATATATATATAAATATATACATGAGTTTATATAACTTTCCTTGGCCGCCAATTTTTTGCACAAGAATACACAACAAAAAAAGAAATATATGTATGTATATATATTTATACATATATATGTATATATATATATATCAGATATCATATATCGACCGCGCTCTTGGGCTGTTCACGCTTGGGGCTCTGCCGTGCCGCGGTGACTTGCCGCGGCCTCTGTGCTCTGCCGCGCTCTACCGGCTGCACCCACGCAGCACCACGCTGCGACCCCCATCGCAACGCCACCACGAACAGATGCGAGGCACGCGGCCCCCCCGCAGCTCCAATGGCAATGCGTCCAGTCTGCAGAGACCCCGTGGCATTTGGGCCACAACCACGAAGATCTTTGCGGCGTTAAATTGAAGCGTCATCGCCCGCAAGCACAGGACGGAGAAGGTGCCAAGGGAACAAGAAGCACCATGATACCACTCACAAGACTTGCAACGGTGACTTCTGAACAGCTTTGCCAACAAAAGTCACATAAAGGCAAGTGCCATCTGGCTTGAGAGGAAGCCGAGATGGTCTGGCTTGGGTGGACTTGTGCTCGATGCTTCGAATGTCTGTTGAATGCCTGTACCATGCAGCGCCCCTCTACAAGAGTGAAACACGGTGAAACGTGAAACCTGCACACTTTGTGTTCATCCAGGACCGACACTGAGGTGCCAGCCTGGAAGCTGTCTATCCAGCGAAAGGTGACGCCAACATGTTGGCGCAGGTCCCAACCGTAGCTCATCATCAAATTCCTCGGAATTGAAGATGCGACTACCTCCTTGATTCGGCGGAAGGAGGTTGATCCACCCTAGCATGTGGAATTTCTTACACAGGTCGAAGGTCATATTCAACATAGAGCCCTCTCCATGTGGCTCGACTAAGTTGTCCACACTCGAAGAAGGCTCGATGAGCAATATAGAGTAAGGCAGGCGGGGTGTGCACCTCTTGTAGCGAGAAACACAGTAGAAAGGCTTCTTTGCCTATGCGTCATAGCTTCCGTGGAAACCATATTTGCTTCAGGTGCGAGCAGTGTGAGAAGGTAGACCTCCATACAGCAGCAATGTCAATACCATCAACTATCTGCAACCGCTTGCAGTTTTCACATGCAATGGGGCCTACGATTATGATCAAAAAACCCTAGATAAGACAATAAATCGAAGCTCCTTTACACAAAAAAATCAAAAAATGTCCAAAGTAAAAAAAAGTCCAGCCAAAGCTCAAACTCTAAATCGAAAGTCCAGCCAAAGCTTGATGGTCAAA